CTCTGTTCTGGGGCGAGTTCACCATAATGCACAAATAAATGGGAAAATATATATATTTCACTAAGCAAATATATTTTGTGGCTATATTTTCAGTGCCAGACCTAATGTGAAATTACAACTTCACAAGGGCCATTTGAGAAGGGTTTCTTTTCTGGCACTTTGTAAATAGTTCCTTTTGTATTTAATGCCTTTTTTTTTTTTTTTTTTTAAGTAAATCATATAAGTCAAGAAACATTCCATATAAATTTATCTATGCTTCTTTGCCAGAGAAAGACTTGTATTCTGTGATTTTATTCGTTATATTTATTCATTTAATCATGACAAAAGCAAAATGCTTCCTCTTTTCTACTGAAAATGAAAATAAGTTGTAGCATATTAATTCAAGTCTAGAATGTGCTGTCTACACTGGCTTTGCTTTTATTTTGAATCTGGATCACATATTCCCACACAATTCATCTTTAATCTAGCATTCAAATAAGCATAAATGTAGTCTTTAATATTTAAATGTGCTTCCTTTGATCTGATGACATCATAGGTGGTGTGTCATGATTTTAATACTTGTTTGTTAGCTAGCACAATTTCTATACCATACGGATAAAAGCATTTAACTACTTTGTCTCCCAGAAAGGCAACGTATACCTCAACTCAGTGTTTCTTCCTAGTTGCCATAAATTTAGACCCCATTTTCTAAATTTATCCTATTAACAGCAGTAAGAATAGAAAAGAGTTTTATATGCCCACTCGTGTTATCACAAATACTGTAAGTTATCCTGAAACAAAAGAAAGCAGAAAGATGTAAACTAAAAGTTGTTTACCACATTTTATTTCTACCTGGTCTCTAAGGCTCAAAGGGCTGATAACAGCAGGACTAGGGGAAATGGTTTTAAGTTGAAGGAGGGAAGATTTAGGTTGGATGTTAGGGGGAAGTTCTTTACAAGGAGAGTGGTTAGGCCCTGGAACGGGCTGCCCAGGGAGGTTGTGGATGCCCCGTCCTTGGACGTGTTTAAGGCCAGGTTGGACGGGGTCCTGGGCAACCTGATCTGAATGTGTATGTTTGGTGGCCCTGCTAGGCAGGGGGGTTGGAACTACATGATCCTTGGGGTCCCTTCCAACCCGGGTGATTCTGTGATTCTGTGATTCTGTGATTCTAAGGCTCACCAGTTGTATTTTAATTAATGTGTTGTGATTGCCTGTTCATTTATCATCTAGGGCAAAAAATAAGTAGTAAAAGCATATTCTCCTTGCAGATGCTTCATACTATCTGCTGGTTAGTTTATCTGTATGGGATTTGAGATTGTAGCTTTAGAGGGATTAAAGTTATAAATTGCTAGTAAGTGATTTCTAACTGTTTCTCAAATTATGTTTTCCTCAGTCTACAGAATTTGCTGCTTTAGACGTTGTTTCCAAAATACTCAGGCACAGACCTAACTTTACTTCCAAGAATAAATGCCAGAAATACTTAATCACATTTACAACTTCATTAATGTGGATAACATTCCTAATGCTTCCTGAATGCTCTTTGAGTCAGGAGGTTAAAATATTTTGGGATGATCTTAATACTTGCAGTTATCAAGAAAGGCAAAAGGATTTGAAAAGAAGACTATTTATAATTGAGACAACTATGGAGATCCTTAAACTTACAAGAAAGCTTTCCAAGTTTTCATAGAAATGATTTTTTTTTCTGCACATCTTTCTCAGAAAAGCTCTGTAAGCATGTAATAAAAGTAAGTGGGAGAAAATATTCTGATCCCTGTATTAACACCTCTGCTTCCTGTGGCTTTCAAGCCATGGTCCACAGAATCAGTGGGTCTGCAGTCCTCTTGTAAATGCTTCAGATCAAATTACTTAGAAAAGCAAGTCTGCTTTCAGCATACCTGAACAATTTGTATAGGATTCTGCGCCTCTACAGGAAAACTGTAAAGGGTCCTTCAATCAGAGAGCTTTAGAAACCATTGCCTATTTTCCATGGTCACAGTAGGTTTAAGAATGGCTCATACTTGTATGTTCTTAGAAAAAAACTACTGACATTTGAAAGAATACTAATCCTAAGAAATAGGCCAAAACACATTTCAGTGCAGAAAATTTTATATAGCTCTATCTGTGATAATCTGAATTGTCATATAGTTGCTCTAAAAATTCATTTCTTTTCAATTAAAAAAATTAGGCAATTTACCAAAGTAATAGCATAATGACAGATAATCTTTATGAGATTAAGCATCAGATATCCAGCTCAAGAGGGAAGACATTTCTGAGATGCCCTCTAGACAGAGCGATTAGAAGGCAAACATACCTGCCTGCCAGGCAGCATACCACAAACTGTCCACCAACTATCAAGAAGAAAAAAAACAAAACTGTACTTACTTTTAAAGTAATAAATGTAACTGATATATTCAAATTGTGCAATCTCTGAATTCCAGCAAAGTGCAGGTTCCCAGCAGATACCACTTCTGGAAGTGTCATGCTGTTAAGGACCTTTATTTTTCCAAAAAACAACTCCAGCTTAATTCATTTGTAAGTATTTTCTAACCCTGCCTAATAAACCAAGATGTATTTATAACAAAATAACCTATTTCCAGTGAAAAGCATACTTGGTTTAATAATTTATATCCACATACCACACATTTCGGAAGCCTGATAAAAACTGTCTGGAACAATGCCTCTAACCAAGAGAAGAATTTTTACACTGGTTGTTTTGGCAGTCCACTGTCTGGGATCGCTAAGAGAACTGAAAGAGAATTACTCTTGTATTTGTAAGAGAAGGGGCAAATATAAGTCATAAATGCAGAAGTATTCCACAGAGAGATGGAATATATATCAAGTTTGAGCATGACAATGCATGGATCGTTTTTTAAGGGAATGTAAAATGATAAATCTTAGGAAGATGAAAAGGGCAATGGATTCAGCCATAAAAGCCATTCAGTTTTCTGACAATAACATCTAATTATACTTAATAGCTTCCAAGTGCTACAGAGAGCTTTTAACAACAGTGTGGGGAAACACAAGGCAGTCTAAAAGTAGTTTTACTTGAAAACTTTTCTGCTTTCTAGGAAGCGAACATGTGCTATGCAATTCTAGAGCTCTGAAAGGAAAAAATAGCAAAAAAGGAAGGAATAAAATAAATTGCTTAAATGTAGTAGCACCCAGGCATTTAGGAAGTCTTGAACCCTAGGTTTGCAGTAAGACACTCTCTGTCCAGCAGGTTTGCCAGCCAGAAGACTGAGCCCCTAAGTGAACCAAATTCGTGTCTGATTAAACTTCTCTGAGAGTGCTGATGACATACTTCCCCTTTGCTGATCTGCACTTTGATCACACTGTAACACTTGGTGGATAATAGCTATTTATGTCATCTCTATATATCACTTATCTCCCTGGTGCAAAATAAAGTAATAAATAGGTGATTCTGTAGCTTCCTACTCGTGGGATCAGAGTTTGTTCACATACTGGAAGCAAGGATAAATGTAAAGCTATTAAGTTGTACCACATATTTGTGAGATTGGAACCTTGTGCTGCACAGGTGGAAGCTGATCATTGTAGCTTTAGAACAGAATTTGTCAAAGCATGAATATACTGGCTTATGCAACTCCCATACTTAAAAAATAAAATCAGCAGCGTAAAATTACTCTTTATTTTATCTGATTCAAAGCCAATTATTGTCATTAGAAAGGTCTTGTGTAATAAATGGTTGAGCTGGTGATCTGTGTACAAATACTTGAAAAACAGATACAGAAAGTTTTGTCAGAAGCAATCATGCCTAACAGTGTGAAGTGGAATGCGCCTCTGTGCTCTGTGAGAGACCAAGCTAACTAACATCTAGCTCTGCTGCTTTCAGGACCTGTGAGGAATTTGCATATTATGAAGCAAAACAAAACAAAAAGAGAGAAGTAAATTGAGATTGGAAAACAGTCAAATTAGGCTCAATGAACGTTTTTTGGCTTGACAGAATAAGCCACTTTACTGCTAAGTAACCAAAGCACTCACAGCACAGCCAGTTCCTGTTGTCGTACAAAGATTCAACTAACACAAAGCATAACATTAAACATCAGGGTGTTTCTTTTCAAGTTCTAACACATCACAACAATATAGAACGTTAAACCTTTTTATCAAAAGAAATCAATTCTATCAGACTGCTCAGGTGTAAATGATAGCAGTTAGCGAATAAAATCTGGACCACCATGCAGTTGGGTAACTCATAACTTGTCTCATCAAATCCAAGCTGTTTTATGAAAGAGGTATTCCTTATTAAATATTTATAGCTTGCTACTTAGACAGTAAGTAAAAGACAAAAAGCAAACCAAAACATTCCATGCAAAGCAACAGAGAAGACAGTTTTGAAACTAAAGCAATGTTTCCATCACAGTAAAACATCACAGAATTATCGCCAAGCAAGATCTCCAAGTCAACAGCTTTTCTGCAAAACCTTCTCTAAATGCAGAGGCATTGCTGTCACCAAGACATGCCTGAATGGTATTTTGCAAACTACTGCCTGTTTCAGACTCACACAAACACAAAGCTGTGCTTCAGCAGAAAAAAACCAAAAGGACTAACCAAACCTCTCCGTGGGGAAAACAAATCTGACACAGCGGTTACTATTAATTAACATTCTTATTTGTTCAATACTACTTCCAGTTTCCAAAGGAAGTGTGACATGCTGAACTAATAAAATGCTACTTCTCAAAGCTGCTAACCTCCTATTTCCTGGGCAAACAAGCTACCCTTCGGTTCCATACCATGCACTAGTGTTCAGCAGAGCAGCAAAGTTAACTGCATCCATCAGTTACAGCTGTGCACAGCCTTTTTAAAAAAATTCAATACCTTAAAGACCTTTTTAAAGGCGTTTTCATTATTTTTCTGCAAAATGAACCTAAGGAAGAAGCAGCAGCAGAAAAAAGGGACTGTGTGACAGATGGTCACCAGAAAGCAGGCGACCCCTGAAGCTTTCTAGCTTGCTGTGAGTCAATTATTAATGGGGATTTCTCTTCTTACCGCCCCATCCCATGCAGAGAGGAGCGGCAGCAAAGCCTTCCTCAGAACGCATCCATCCCCGCTAAGTGACTTGCGAAAGAAGCAAATCGGCAGCGGTGAGCAGATGGTGCAAAGCTCAGGAACAAGAGAGGAGACGAGAGGAGAAGTAAGCCCGCGGAGATGGCGTGTCCGAGGCACGGAGCGCAGGACTTACTGACCCGAGCTCTCCACTGGGATGTACCGTGGGAGCTGCAGATCGCCTGTGCTCTGCATCCCCACCGCTTTGTTTATCGGAAAATATTCAGAATGGAAACCTGACTCCACTTCTAAAAATAGCTGAATTTACTGAGTTTCAACTTGAAGTCCCACTGCTGAAGTGTGACAACGGTACGTAAATACCTCGTCTTATCTCCAAAAGGCAGCATGTCAAGCCACTGGGGGAAAGCCTAGACGAGCTCTTCGGGTCTTTACATTAGCTCTTCGCAAAAATAAAGCAAAACCCAATAAAAATAAAGAGGACAGGGCAGGGAAGAGCAACGACCGCGAGCGCTCAGCCGCGGGGAACTCGCCGCTCTGCCCGCCCCGGGCCGCAGCCCCGCTCCGCTCTGCCCCCTGCCGGGCTGCGCGGCGCCGCTCCCTCCCCCGCTCCGCCGGCCGCCCCGGCCCGGCCGGACTCGGCGCTGCGGGGCCGCGGAACCCGCCGCAGGAGCCTCGGATGCCCGTCCGCGGCTCTCGGCTCCCGCGCCGCTTAGCCCCGTGCTCTCCGTCGGGACGTCAGAAAAACTGAGGAGCTCGCGGGTCGAGCAGCACTTTGTTTTGGGAGGACCGAGTCGTGGCACGCCCTCCCCCCACCCGCTCCGAGAAGACGTTATTGTGAGGTTCCCGCGTATTTCTGTCCAATTCGCAGGGCAAGGAGAAGTGTATCGCCCGCCGCTCTCGAGAAGTTGAGCGAACCCGTTTGGGAACAGCCCCAGCAACGCGCGACTAAAGCGGGGCTGCGGGCAGAGCCCGGCGCTGGGACAGCTCCTTGTGCCGGAGGGTACCGCCGCTCCGCACGGCCCCGTACGGCCGTAGGCGGCCGGGAGAGCGGGAGGAACCGGAGCCGGAGCCGGGCGGCGCCCGCCCGGGAACGGCGGTGGCAGCGAGACGGAGCCGCTCCTGCCTGGCTTCAGCTTGGGCTCCTTCGAGGGTGGGGGTGGGGGAACGGCTTTTTCGTTTTCTTCGGAAGCAGCGAAGGGAAACCGAACAGCGACCTTTTGCCGGCAGGGAAGGATCTGTCCCTCTCCGCCGCCTCCCAGCCTTACCTTGTGGCTTTCCTGACAAAGTAGGAGTGGGTGAAGTCGCAGTGATCGTCCAGCCACGCTTCCACCGCTTCCTGCTCAGGCGAGGGGTGGCAGCTGCGCTCCATGCTCCGCTCCGCGGCCGCTCTGCCTCCTCTCCCGGCCGCCGCCGCCGCCGCTGCTTCCCCTGTGAGCGGGGCCGGGGGCGAGGGGCTCCCCACCCCTTCCTCCCTTCCTTTCCCTGCCGCCGGGGCTCCCGGCCTGCCGGAGCCGGTTCCCAGGTGCTCGCCCGGCTCGGGCGGCAGGAAGCCCGCGTTCGGCCCCGGCCCCGCCGCCGCACCTCAGCGCATCCCCGGCCGTGGCAGGCAGCCGGCTCCACCTCCTGCAGCGCCCCGGGGGGCTGCCGCGCCCCCGCCCCGCCCGGCTCTGCTCGGAACGGCCGCAGAGCACCGGCGGCAGCCCCCCGGCTCGGGCTGGCGATGCCCGGCGCTGGGGAGGGCGAAGGAGGCGTTTGTGTGCGCCGGGAGTGCTGCGGGACGAATGGGCCGGGCGGTCCGGGCGGGCAAGGGAAAAGCGCAAAGAGATGTAAAAGTAAGTCGTTCTCTGTGAGTCTGGCAAAGGAACCCCCCTTCAGTTTTTCTCCTTTCAAGATATGGCCTGCTTAAGCCTGCTTGAAAAAGCGGGAAAATAGAAGCCGCCTCGCAGTGTTTCACGGTTGGGTGTCAGCGTGAATACGAGTAGGAAAGCCCTGGCTTTTCGATCTTTCATCCAAAAACCATACAGTGAGGCTTTTAAATCCGTTTGAGACCTTGAATGAACACAGCCTAGCTCTGAAGATGCTCCAGATTCACGACTGCTTTTTTTTTTTTTTTTTTTTTTTTTTTCTCTACTATTGGAAAGCAGCATTGAAAACCTCGGTTAATGCCAAGCATCACTTTTATGTCTCATAGTTCCACTCTGTGCTAAACATGTGCACACATAGTAATTTACCAACTGCATTCACAAAAGAGTGTACGCAAAATAGAATGCGCATATTTTGTTTCCTGTGTCATCTATGTACATAAAGTGTCTCTGAAAGCAAGACATCAATAATGAATAGCAGCATGTTTCTGTGGAAAAGAATCTTTGGGGTCTTTAAAATGATTGTCTGATACAATAAACTGAGAAAGGCTGTGAGTTTGTGCGCCCCTCTTAAAGCCTCTCAGTGTACTTCAGATGGAGGTGCACTTCAGATGGAGTACAGAGCCCCACACACCTCCGCAATACTCTGCAGTGCTTCGAGAGCCTTGCCTCCAGCTCCTGGCAGAAGAAGTGGAATTCTGCAGTGTGAGCAGAGGCTGCAGCAGGAACTTCACAGCAAAGCGACTGAGAACCTGTCTGTGAGCTTGGGGCAAACTGTTTTCTTCTTTGTCTTTGTGTAACATCTGTCTTCTGGCTGTAATTTGTGTAATATGAGGCACACTGAAAGGGAAGGTTTACATCAACCTTATATCCTTATAATTCAACTTGGAAAACAAATCTCAGAAGCGCACATGGTGACCAAAGTGTGAAGATAAACTGGTTAAGACATGCTGCAAAAGTCAAGCCACTATTCAAAGCTAAGAGGAATCTTTCAACGGGGAAATTCAGAATGCAGTAAACCACAGAAGCAGACAACATGGCAATAAAGGAGCGTGGTGTTTAGTGTCAAAACATGAAAAGTATGATCTGTTAGAAAAAAAATAAACTTGTCATGTAACTCATAGATTACGTATTTAAATGTTTCATTCAGAAAAGGGGCTTGAGGATACATTAGACATGGCAATATATTTTTTTCTGAGCTGGGCAAACCTTTCAGAGAACAACATTATGTTAGAATGCTTAAGAAATACAAGAGAAATATAAAATATACAGTTATCAAATACAGACTTCGTAAATATCAGAAAGCTTTTCCCTGAATGATCTCGTATAGGATACTGATCACAGTCCTGCACATCCTGTCCCCAAAAACTATTGCAGAATTATCACAGTTGATCTAGAGGGGAAATCCAGAACTGACCAAACAGATGGAAATCTCTTTTCTATAAAGAGAGAAAAAGAGATTTTTTGTGAAAGGATGAATGCAAATATATAATTTCATTCCTGGTATTTAAAATACAATAGGATTTGCTCTGTGTCTCACTGGAGAATAACAAGATAATAGTCAACAAAATTACGTCGGCTGCAATACGTACCATCTCATTTCATATAATTACAGGTAAATACGCATTTATACTGTAGCAAGATTCAGTAAACACCAGACAAGAATAAATAAGCATTGTGCTGAGCTCTGTAAACAGTAGTGTTAAAGTCTAGGCTTAATAATGATAATCGTAGAACGGGTTGGCTGAAAGGCACCTTAAAGGTCACCTAGTTCCAACAATAGTATTAAAGTCCAGGCTTGCTGAGAAGTGAGAGTACAGCATCCCTGCTCATGCCGCGAGGTACTGGGACCCTGGGCAAAGCTTCTTGGAATGTGGACAGCTGCCCAGAATGGGAGAATATGCATTTGACTTTGTACCAAAGGAGGGGAAGCTGGGCAGGGCTGCAGTGCACTTTGCTCCAGGCTGACAGCCACTCAGTTAGCCATCCTACAGATATGAATCAGTGAAGCTAATGCATCCTGTGAATTCAATGGTAAAACATCAGTTCAAATACTGCTACCCAAGCAAAGAATTGTGTAGTCTCTCCCAAAATAAATCATAAAACTGGAGATGTTGGGGGAAAATTGGTACTTTCTCTGTATCCATTGGATTTCCATGAATAAAAATGAACATGCTGTTTTCATTTTTAAGGTGACAGGAGGGGGGTGAAGGCCAAGCATAACAGGGAAGTGAATGTTAAAGGTGGAAAAAGTCTTTCATAGTTTTGGCTTCTGAAGTCCTATGAAAAAGCTCCATGCATCTTAACTCACACCCAGCTTTCCAGTTTGCTTCCAGAATTTGGATGACAGAACTGTAGCAGCTGTAATGTTGAAAAGGGTCTGTGGTAATGACAAGTATGTTCGTTTCAAGTTCAAAAGCTACTTGTAGCAAAGCAGGGTGCTTGAGAGCTTCTTACAGAAACCAGAATGCTTGTCGTGTGGAGGACCATTCTGCAGTGGAAGTGGTTGAAAGAAAAGCTTTTAAGGTGAAATTTTTGTATATTTTGCAAATACTGTAACATAAGTAGATGAGAAAGGTATTTTGTGCGGGCTTGTTTGTTTGTTTGTTTGTTTGTTATTTGCAAGGCACTTAAATCAGAGATGCTGCTAACTCATGGTCAGATGTAAGAATATGACTATAGAACAAATGCATAATCAGAGAAATATTTATGTGATATTTATGCTCAAAGAACCCTTTATTTATTTAAACTTCCTAGCAGCTCATTTATTTCTATAACATTCCCATTCAAAAGGGAAGAAAATAAGGTTTCAAATGTCACCACAGTTGACTTATTAGTCTGACTTACTCATTAGATGAATTGGAGCAGCATTTAGCATTGCTAAGAAGTGGGAATTGGCTGTCTTTCTGTCTTTCTACCATCCCTTAAATCTGGAAAACAGTTGATCCATTTTGGCTCCTAAAACAAATTTAGGACTGTATCGTATTGCCAATGAGACCATAATATGATAAGGCAGAGGAAACTATTCTGCTTCCTTATTAGCCAGCACTTTTACACACATGCAAATATGTACACAGTGGAAGAACTTTCGTATTAGTAAAGCAAGTATCCATTTCCCTGCCACTATTTAAGATGTACAAAGAGGATGAAATAGCAACCAAAATGCAGAGCTGCTCATTCATTGCATAATCTGCCTTCTCCTCTGGGATAACATTACATATGTCCTACAGGAAGCCATGTAAAATAGTAGCTTCCTCCTGTTTTGATTTGAATGTCATCGAGCATTTGCATCAGTCAGAGTACCATGCCAAATTATTATTAACCCCTGGAAGGCAACAGTTTCTCTAAGTAGTTTGTAGTACACAGACATTTGTCTGGAAAATACTGTCTAACTTTATCTCCTGAAAAATGTAATTCCGAATTTGCGTTTTAACATATTAGCATTTAAAATCTCAGGATAAAGAAACTGTTTAAAGGCTGTTGCTGAGTTTTTCTCTTTTTCTCAGCCTTCTCTGTCTTAAGATAAGTAGTGCTAGTTATTTCAGTTCTTCCTTGAATGTCATGTTTTCTAGCCCTCTGATCATTCTTTCTTAATGTGGCCCACATGGTCTCTGCCATTACTGTGGTGTCTCATTGAGTTAGGATCAAGTTATCTAGTTGAACA